GAGAGAGAGAGAGAGAAAGTGAGAAAGCGCACCAGTAGGTCCAGGGTGCGAACCATGTGGTAGTCCAGTGCCCTTCACTACCACACCACCTGCCAGCAACTCCACATCTTTTTTTCTTTTAAGAATTATTTTATTTAACTTAATTGATTTGTTTATTTAATAGTTTTGACCAGAGACGGACAGAGTGAGAGTGAAAGAGACAGACAGAGAGAGAGAGAAAGAGAGAGGGAAAGTAAGAAAGAAAGCTGCCAGGTCCAGGTCTTGAACCGTAGTCGGCCATGTGGGAGTCCGGTGCTCTTAACCACACCACCACCTGCTGTCCCCTCCACATCTTTTTTGAAAGACAAAAGTCTCAAATCAATAGAGATCTCTTATTGCATCATTAAAATATTATAGGTAAGTCTTAGGAATCATCTAGCATCTTGTTTCTTTTTTCAGAGTCACTTTTTTCAGACACTTCCAGAATTTTCTGATACCCTTGATTTTTACTGTTGTGGTTTGCTGAATCAAAGCCGCTGATTTGAAATGAGTTCAGTTTTGTTTCCTTCAAGGATTAGTTCGTCTTCCAGAGCTTGAGGTACTGAACAGGCAACCCCTGGTGTTACTTAAACCCTGTTGATGTCTTTTTCACCAAGAAGTGAAAAAGGAGAGACCCATTCTCCTGAATAATGACATTGATCGGGATGTGAGCATACACAGACCTCCCCTTTTTCTTTTTTTTCCTGAAGAGATTTTTGCTATTGGGTGCGTACGCTCACCAGAGAGAGAGAGAGAGAGAGAGACAAAGAGGCAGAAAGTGAGAAATCACCCTCCCCAGGAGGGATGGTCACACTACAATCCCTTCTCTATTCTCCTCCCTGGATTTTGGGCATGTAAACACATGCGCCCAGTGTGAGTTTTAATTGACCAGGTCTGGGACTCGAACCACAGTTGACTACATGGAGTCCAGCAATGTAACAGTTACATCATCTGTTGGTCTCATAGACCTCATCTTGTAACAGCTCAATGTGACACCCTTGATCATGTTCTGTACGTGACTGTAGAGCGCAAATGATAGCCAGTTCTTTCTATTTCTCTACCTTTATCAGCCTTGGAGCCTCTTATTTTTCTTTCTAAGGAGACTGAGTTTTACATTGATGTGTTTGAAGTCCTCCACAGGGTTACTTTGGGGCCCTTCGTGATAGCTATGTGTCCTTGCAGACCGATGTCAACATTTTATGGAACATTGGCAGTCTGATTGCTGAAAATGGTCTTTATTTTTGCAGTTGATGTGATTTACCTCCATGTTTTCGTGAAGGGTGTTAGATCAGTCTTATAGGGCTTGCTGAAAGGTGAAACTGCTTCTGCTTACTCTAAATACATGAATATAAAAGTGTATATATATATATATATATATGTGTGTGTGTGTATATATATATATATATAGCAGTTTTTTTTTTAAGTAGGATTTGTAAGTCCTGACAATTTATATTTTATAGGGTATAACTCTTAAAATACTTGGGAAGAAAGGATCCTTTTATTATTTTTATATGTTTATCATCATTATTATCATTTTATATTATCTTTTTATTGTTACCTTAATCAGACATGTTTTAGCTACATTTCACATGTTACAGTGAAAGGAAAGGAAGAATTCAGGAAAGAAAAAGTACAACAGAATTTTTGCATTCAAATTAATACTACCTTTCCAAGCAGAATCTTGAGAAGCTGTGTAATGAACTTCTCTGTTCACGTTTATTGACTTGTGAAGCAGCAGAATGGTTTTGATGAGTACTTTGGTGGCTTAGTTTGCTAGAGATGGGTTATCTTGAGTTAATGATCACTGGTTTGTTTTTTCCCCCAGTCAGCAGATAAGCAGCGAGCCCTAGAAGAAACCAAAGCCTACACCACTCAATCCTTAGCAAGTGTTGCCTATCTGATAAACACCTTGGCCAACAATGTCCTGCAGATGCTGGATATCCAGGCATCCCAGCTACGAAGGATGGAATCTTCTATCAATCATATTTCACAAGTAAGACCACACTGTTTCCTTTTTGCCTATGAGGAGCAGTTAATAAACACAGGCTATTTGTAATACTGCCAGCCTTTATTGTGTAAATTAACTCCCATTTATGATTTTAACTCACATTTATGATTTGGAAAATACAGAATCAGTATTATGTAATTTTTAAATTCTATTTTGTGAGGTGGTTAATTATGCAGTGATTTTTGAAAGAACAGTAAGTTTTAATGGATCCCACCAGAACTCAGTTGTCAGGGTACCATAATCATCTCTTCAGTGAAAAGTTGCCCTGTTTCTTCCAGTTTTTACCAAATTTCATCCTCCTTTATTGATTTAAAAAATAAATACCAGGCACTAAGCTTGGTGATTTAGGTTTTCTTTTGTTGTTGGTAGGATTTATGTTAACTATACCTGCAATAATGGAAAGACTAAGTGACTAGTAAACCTTTTTAAATTATCTTTATAACTTAAAAATATTTTAAACATTTTCAGTTACAAAAGTTATGCTAATGAAATATAGGAAGAGGACCCCCCAAAAAAAGAGAAAAATCCTTTCATCACTATTCAAGCCTTTCACTATCAATATTTTGGTATATCCTTGTAATATTTTTTCTTACAAAATAATTTTTAAACTAATTTATGATTTACAAATAAATTGTATTTTGTGGGATATAGTATAGTTTTTTTTAAAGCATGCATATATTAGGTTATTGAGAAAGTTATGATGTTTTTCTGTTTTTCTATGCAAAAAGGCATCATAACTTTCCCAATGACCCAATAGTATGTCATAATCAAGGATATATTTATTATCATCTTCTACATTTAATATTTTATTTAGTTGTGCACATTTAAAACCCATTTTACTGAATATTTTTGGAAGCATATATTAACTTGTCAGTGTCTTTTACTCTACTGTGGTACACTGTTCCAAAATCTATTCTAGTTATTTACATGTACTCCTGTGTCTGTTAACCAGTTTCTTCCAACCTAACCTGCTACCAGTGTTAACCAGTTTCTTCCAACCTACCCTGCTACCAGTGCAGATTCTAGTAATTACTATTACTTTTTCTACTTTATAATTATTGAATTATAATTATATAATTTCTACTTTATAATTATTGAATTATTTATTAGCTTCATTAAAGAGTGAGAACACTTGGTATTTGCTAAATAGAAGCTTATAGTACTTATCTTTTGTAGCCTGACTGGCTTCATCTGGCAGTGTCTTGTAGGTTTCTCCATTTTGTCTCAAATTACAGGGATTCATTGTTCTTCATGGCAGAATAGTATGCCATTGTGGATTTTGATGCTACATTTTCTTTATCCATTTGTTGGTTTGGTGGTACTTTGGTTGATCCATGTTTTAGCTATTGTGAATAATATTGCAGTAAACATGCATGTGCAGATGTTTCTCTGGCATCTGATTAATGTCCTGTCCTTTGGGTATATACCCAATAGTGGGATTATTGGGTCAAAAGTGAGTCTATGTTTTCTATCTTTAAGGAACCTTCATATAGTTTTCCACTAGTAGCTGTACAAGGTTACATTCCTACCAGTGGTACTTGAGGGTTCTCCTTTCTCTGCAACTTCACTGGTACTTGGTCTTCTTTGCTTTTCTGAAAATAATTGTTCTGACTGGGTGTACTTCATTGTGGTTTTGATTTGCATTTCTTTTATGATTTTTAGCTATTTCTGTGTCTTCCTTTTGAGAGTTGTCTGTTCAGATCAATCCCCCCTGCCTTTTTTTTAATCACTTTTGTCATTTCAGTAACTTGGTAGTATTCAACACTCTTTTTAGACATAAATGGTTAAAAAACTTATGGAAGAAAAGTAATTTTAAAATGCATATATTATCATTATTTTTTAAATATATCTTGAGAGTTTAGGACTCTTGAAATGACTAATTCAACCGCTTTTGAGCTTCTAAATTTGAGCATACTTGTATAATCAAATCAAATAGTCTACATAATTAAATCTGATGTCATAAACTACCTTATATGTTTGCTCTTTGAAAATTCATCAGACTGATTTAGAGGAATTTCTTATTATTTAATATTATTTAGTCTTAAATCTGAAGTTGCTGTTATAAGGATTTCTTCACGTTCCGTATAAACCTACATAGACATTGTATAATTTTTTGCTTTCTTGTATTTCTTGTGTCTCTTAAGTTAAAACAAAAAAAAAACCTTGGTGAATTTCTTTTTTTTTTGGAGAGGTTTTTGCTATAGGGCGTGTGTGCTTGCCAAAAAGAGAGAGACAGTAAGTGAGAAATCACCCTCCGGGGGATGATGGCCACTCCACAGTCCCTTTCTCCTCCATTCTCCTGTTGGGATCTTGGGCATGCACACACACACGCGCCTGCTGCAAGTTTAAGCCAACGGGTTCAGGACTTGAACAACGGTCAGCTACATGGGAGTCCAGTGATGTAGCCATTATGCCATTTGTTGGTCCCCCCCAAAATTGGTGAAATTTCATGAACAAGAGGTAAATTATGCATTAGAAAGGCCTCTGAAATAATCAATTGCAATTTAAGTGGTGAAATAGATGAACTTGATTTTCTGTAGGAGGGAGGTTGACAAATTACTGGTTTGATACAGAATTTTCATTTTTAAGGTCTATACTTGAGGGTCTTAAATTAGAGTTTCTAAAAATGAGGAACAACTTTTTATTAGCTTTTTCTTTTTGTGTATATAAATACATACACACACACACACACACACACACACACACACACACACACAGAGGCCAGTACCTGAGAGGTAAGGGGTTTACATCTCTACACGTGTGTGTGTGTATATATATATATACACACACACACACACACACACACACACATAGTCAGAGGGTGTGTGCACTTGCCAGAGAGCGAGAGGAAAGCAGAAAGCACCTTAATAGAGCATAGTCATGCTGTAATACTTTTCCACATTTCTCCCTCCCATTAGGACCCTCCCGTTAGGATTTTGGGCATACGTACACATACCTGGCATGTTTTACAAGGTTGTAGGCCACAATTTGAACTGTGGTCAGTCGTGTAGAATCTGGTTCTCTCTGCACAGCACTTGACTGGGGCCTGTCCAACTTTTTTTAGTTGATAGGGGAAAGATTATGTGAGTAAAGTGTAACAAAGTAATGACAATGAAAGATAATCATTTATTTTCTGATTAGAATTGTATAGTTCTTTGGTAGAAAAGAGTAGCAGGCTCAAAGAGGAAGGGAAATACTAATATTGAAAGGTCACCCTAGATTAGAAGTATATGTATTGATTTAGTTAATAAGAACATTTCCTTTCTGAGTGTCATATAAATTGACTTAATTAACAGAGTCAAATTCATGGTTTCTAGTGAAATAGGTAAAAAACAGGAGAGATGAATGGATAGAGGTTAGTAGGTCAGAAATAATGAACTGCAGTGAGAGCTGTCCAGAATATGCTGAACCTTCTTGTTTGGAGTTGAGTGTATGGAGGTCAGTATCTGAGAGGTGAGGGGTTTGCATCTCTACAGCAGCTGGTGAGGTTAAACAGATTGTATGTATGTTCCATGAGGGATGGAGAAGAAGTGGGCTGTTGGGGTCCGTGTCTAAGAAATGAGTGATTAAAAAAAAATGTTCCTGCATTGGTCTCAATAATTGGACTTTTTTCAGTTATGTTTAAGATGCAGGTCGAATTATGTAAGCAGTCAGTTGAGGGCCAGCTGGTGATAGTGGTTAAGGTGATTGGCTTTTACATGGCCAACTATATGGATTGAGTCCCAGACTTGGCGGCTTGAAAAATACACCTTACACATGTGTGTGCATGCGTATGTGTGTGTTTGTATGCACGTAAGCAAAACATTTATTTATTCATTTATTTATTTTAATTTGGCCAGAGAGGGAGAGACAGAGAGAGAGAAAGCAAGCTGCCAGGGCCAGAATTCAAACAGCAGTCATCTATGTGGGAGTCCAGCGTCCCTAATCACCATGCCATCTACTGGCCCCACGTAAGCCAAAAATTCTAAGAGAATAGAGGAGAAGGGATTGTCGCATCTTCATCTCCTCTGGGGAAGAGGGGTGCTTTCTCACTTTCTGTCTCTCTCTCTCTCTCTTTGGTCAATGCACCTGCTCTACAACACATTTTAAAAAGCTAGTTGAGGGGGATCAGCAGGTGGCATGGTGGTTAAGGCACTGGACACTCCCACGTGGCTGACCATGGTTTGAATCCCGGACCTGGTGGCTTGGTTTTTCACTTCCCCTCTTTTTCTTTCTCTGTGTGTGTCTCTCTGTCAAATTAAGAATAAATGAATGAATATATAAAATTTAATAAATAATCATTTAAAAAAATTTTTAAAAAGCCAGTTGAGGGGCCAGCAGATGGTGTAACAGTTACATTGCTGGACTCCTACACGGCTAACTGGGGTTCGAGTCTCAGACCTGGTGGGTTAAAATTCATGTTGGGCCTGTGTGTGTGTGTGCCATGATCCCAGGAAGAGAAGGGATTGTAGAGGGTGATTTCTCACTTTCCCTCATTGTCTCTGTCTCTTTCTCTCTCTCCAGTGAATGCACATGTCCTATGGCAAAAACCTCTTTAAAAAAATAGTCAGTTGAATAGCAAAACTACTTTATGTTTTTTAGACTGGAAGATTATTCTGTGGTGCAAGTGAAAAACTATTCTGTTTACAAAAGCAAATACTCAGTAAACAATCTGAAACCTGTTGGCAAACTTTCTATAAAGGGTAGAGGGGTGAATATTTTAGGTTTTGTGGACTATAGTGGACTCAGTCTCATTATTTGTGGGTGTGTGTGTGTGTGTGTGTTTGAGAGTTTTTTGCTATAGGGTGTACACACTCGCCAGAAAGAAAGAAATCACACACCCCTCCCCCCCCGGGGATGGCCATGCTGTAATCCTAATCCCTTTTCTTCCATTCTCCTCTCGGGATCTTGGGCACGCATGCACCTGTGCCTGGCGTGAGTTTGAGCCACCGGGTCTGGGACTTGAACTGTGGTTGACTACATGGGAGTCCAGAGACATAATCATT